GTAGCTGGGATTTATTTGTAGAGTATGTATTTACAGTACCAGTTTTTTCTTTCTTTCTTTTATTGTATTACAACTTACAAAGTATATATTCATTCCTATCGTATTTTCTCCATTGATAATCACTTTTTTAAGTCTTAAAAAATGTGCTTTGGTTACTACTGCATAGAGAATATATACACATATGGAATAAAAATAAACAGACAGTATAAGAATAATTAGAAAAGTCGATGCTCTGTGGATGGACGGATGGGAGATATTTGCCTGGAGATTTTCCTGCCGCTGAGTTAAAACATATTACGTATTACAAGCTACAAGCTCGATGTTAGATTATTTGTCTATGAATATTAAGTGAATAGGTTTAATGTATGATGTCTAATTGATTGTTTGCTGAGCGAGTTATGGGTTTTTGTACGTTTCTTTCCTTTTAGCTGGCTTTGTTAATAACCTTTTATTATTAACTAATTCTTACTGTTGGAATTTGCTAACACACACTAAGTTTCATCGTTGTGTTATTATATCTCGTGCACTTTTGAAACATAGAAGTTATGATGGAGCTGTTGGTGGCAAAGGTTTGGGGAATCCTTACCTGCCGCAATCATAAATCATGAGAGTCATCACTAGTTTTTGTGCTCATTACCCCAATTTCCTTCCGTATTGTGGTAAAAGAGCTTCCATATATCTTACCATTATCTTAGCTTCACAAGGTTTAAGAATCATAAAACCAGGTTCTTAGGATTTTCAATTTGATCAGTAATGTTTTTCTTGAGAACAAATGATAATTCCATTAACTTATTCCAAGAAAAAGGACTAGGGTCTCACTAAACTTTTCCGAAGAAAATCACATGGAGAAAACAATGGGTTCAGGAAAGAACACCATCAATTTCAGAAAATTAAGCACAATTAAACAATGAGTTTAGGAAAGAACACCACCAATTTCAGAAAATTAAGCACAATTCGTTACAGAATTAAAACTAAAAACATGTGTAGTAATTTAATCAAAGAGATCGAACTATGCTTGATTTTAGAGATAAAGAATGCAGAAAAGTCCATAAAATTGATATGCACATTTTTAGTTTTATTTCCAGAAATTTTTGCATTGATTTTATCTTTTCTCTGTCTCATATTTCTTCTCGTTACTTTTTCTTAATTTAACTTGTGTATGTCAAATGTGTTCCACAACAATTGTACTAATATAATTAAGAAATTGTGAGCATCAACTAAGCCAAATAGATAATATACCAAAATTCGCAACGCATTATGTAAATAACAAATGGATAACATGTGAACCATACATATACACTTGTCAATTCAACAAATAATTATATGGATTACAAAGTGCTGGAATTCGACAAACCTCACTTAATTGATCGATTATATATTACAACTAAAACTCAGTGAAAATTTGCCTATAGCACTAATTAAGTTCGTGCAGGAACTTAACTAGTTGGAAAAATTACCCCATACCGCTTGCACCTTTTTACATGGTGGATGGGACTTGCATAGCATGCATGGGTGAGTCGTACCATGAGAAATTAATATAACTAGTACATATTGTACAACTAGGTAGGTTTTGCAACTCTAGTTGAAGTCTATTCATATGTTTTAAGGTGTAAGTTCCAATCCTTCATTTTCTAATATCGATTGATTATTAAAAACGAAAATCAAACTAATTGATTGAAAAATTGTTTAAGAGGAATTAGAAGGCATCAAGTAATCATCGTCTAAAATTAAAACGAAAATGACGAAAATGACAGACAAACAGAGAAGGATTGATTTTGAATTTTTGGAATCATGACAACATATTGAGGTGGTGACATGTGACTAGTCTTTTTTGGATTATGGTGACTCATGGCCCATGCCAGGGAATAACACGGTATTATAGCAATTGGCAATGATGTTCTTCACTTCACCATCTATCCGTCTACCCATCCTTCTTTTCAGTTCACTCAGTTGCCCTCACCTCACCCTGCAGCTTCCGTCTCTCTCTCTATTGGCTCCTCAAATCAAATTAAGGCGGAATTAGCGTTATTAAGCTTATTGGAATTTGTGATGCTTTGCCTTTGCACGCCAAGAAATTAAGATACAAAGAAGCGGCTTTAACCCTCATCATCATCATATATCATATATAAAAAACTAATGATCAAGTTTTTTGTTTCTTTCTATCAAGAGTCAATCATATGTAGGAGAATTGTACTGCAATAATTAAGGGGTGATTTTTCTCTTCTTTTTTCTTTTTCCAACTTATCATGTTAATAAGCCTCTTTTTCTCTTTAATTTCTTTATTTATTCGTTGTGGTTGTGCATGTTTTCGTACACGCAATCCATGACGTATGTGGAACTTTGAAGAGACTCGAATGTTAAGAACTCGTGGCTCGGACTGGTTCCAGCTTTAGCCTGCAATTTTGGATAGCTTAATTTTGTTGGTCCTAAAATCCCAAGAAAATAGCTTTTTTTTTAACAAAAAATATTATTTATACTAGAGAGTGGAGGAGTGAGTTAAGCCTCACAATAGGCTAACAATAATGTGGTTTAAATTCTCATTTGGCGAGAATCAAACATAAGACTTCTCACTTACAAATGAAAAAAAATATCATTAGACCGTAGTACTAAGTGACTCAAGAAAGTAGTATACTACTTGTACGAGAACTCCTTTTGACAATTCTTTAGGTCTTCAGCATTCAACTTATTTAAGGCATATACTAGACAAGATTAGGATTTTGGGACCTTAAACAATTATAATTTAGAGGCAAATTCTAAACCCTAAGGCCATCTCCAACCGATGACTCGCCAGATGGTTTGTTTTAGCTCTCTGGGCCTCCAAGATCCTCGAAGATATTAATATTTTAATGAACAGTACATGGTCATATTTGCCTCCATCTCCAACCAAGGGTCAGAGGGCCAGAGGACTCGTTTTAGCCATGTCACATAAAATCGTCTCCAACCGAGGGCCAAACATAATTTATTATTTAAAAACTACAACTTAAATTCAAATCCAACGGCTAAGTGACGTCATCATGAAACAAATGGAATAGAAGTTATAGGAAAAAAGGGAATTTAAAAAAAATATATGAAACAAATTTTGTGAAATAGAAGTTATAGGAAAAAATGGAATTTAAAAAAAATATATGAAACAAATGTTGTAAAATAGAAGTTATACGAAAAAAAAAAATATGAACCAAATTTTGTAAAATATAAGTTATACGAAAAAAAAAATATGAACCAAATTTTGTAAAATATAAGTTATAAAAAAAAATTATAGGAAGTTATAGAAAAAAAAGGTTTAAATTCATAAAAACAAAAAAAAATTTGAATACAACGGCTAGTGACTGGCTAGCCGTTGGAATTCAAATTAGTGTCGGTTTTAACCGATACTGTTCAAACTGCTATTATATTAACATTGCTATTAGTGTCGGTTATAATCGACACTAATAATATAGCATATATTATTTATGTCGGCTATAACCGACATAAATAACAAAACATTAAAAAAAAATGGCCAGCCCCGGGCTGGCTGGCTGGCTGCATGCAATCAGCCCTTCAGCCCTCTCCGATTCTGTGGAGCCCTCCCAGATTCCAGAGCTCTCTGGCCCTCTAAACCCTTCAGTTGGAGATGACCTAATGGACCTAAACCAATAATGTAGATGTGTTAGTGTGTTAGCATATTATATGTAGAAGATAGAAATCCCAACTTCCTATGTATGCTGATGTGTTTACATTTTAAGAAATGGGATCATCCTAGTAATGTCATTTTCGTCGTACAATTAGGTATATAATAGGCAGCCCACCAATGATCTAACACTAAAGAAAAGTCCGTGCCTGAAAACAACAGCTAAACAAAAGCCACATATTGGCTATTCCACAACTTAACGTGAATTAGTCGCCTACTCTTAGCCAACAAAGAAAAGCATGTTTAAACAATTCAAAATCCAAGTATATATAACAATAATTCTTGCGCTGCAGTTTTGTAGTTTTTGGAAGTTCTAAATAGAAAAGTGGATTTTGATGACTAACTCGTTTCCTTGGCTCTAGAAAGTTTCAACTTGTGAACCACATAGCGGCCAACAGCTTTTTAGTCCATTCTATGCCAGAGGAAGTACCCAAAAGAGCGACCACAAGCATTGGACACAAAAAGCAATCAAATACAAATAGGCTAAGCCAGGATTTTAATTCATTGGGTACCCTCATCAAGCTATATCGTGATACTAAATTGATTTAATAACATGCATGCCGACGTTTATTACCCAGAAAAAGAAAGAAAAAACTTAATATTTCTCATAATGAAAACCACTAGAAATTGTTATAGCAAACAAAATACGATGTTGTGCATTTGGCGCTTTACCACAATGATGGAAAGTAATAATGTCTATGCACTCTATTTGTACCATACTTAGGGCCTCCGTATTTAGACCTCGTATAAATACTCGGATTACTCAAATGTAATTATGTAATAAATGGAGGGGCAAATATGTAATAAGTGAGGAGCCATTATTCTATAAAAGGGTCTCCTCACCCTCACAATCCTGAAGCCCCCTCATCTCTCTCAAGCTCTCATGCTCACAAAACAGAGAGCCCTCTCAAACTCTCCCTTTCTCTGGGGGACTCCCCCTCACCCTTGTAATCCACACATACAGTCAAAGAAATACAATCAGTGTGGACGTAGCCCAAACATTGGGGTGAACCACGATATATCTTGTGTTATTTACTTTCTTGCAAATTCACGGTCGGATTTACGTTGTTCCAAGACCCCTCCGGTTTTGTGCATCAACATTTGGCCCCGTCTGTGGGAATCGACACGAAAAGCTATGTCGATTCTCTTTCATTTTTTCATCAAATCTCACACTATCCGCCGTAAGTCTGCAGAAACCCAACACCCACACTCAGAGACACCCGCAGAAACCTCTCTCTCGCTCTCTCTCTCTCTCTCTCTCTTTTACAGAGACTGCAAACTCTTCAATTAAGTCTTAAAGTTTCAGACTTTCAAAATCAGAAGCAGAGCGAAGATGGATATGGTGAGTGCGAGTGCGAGCAAAAGGAAGACGACGAGTTTCCACAGTGAGAAGATGACTCTAGAAGATTACCTGCTCCTCATTCAATCCAACTCTCACCTCCATCTCACCGTCGCTCATCTCAATCAGATCATTTCCATGCACAGATACAAGAAGATCTACAAAGTTCCCAAGGCACGTTTGAGCGACGCCGTGGGCTCTCTGTCGCTAGTTGATCCGGCTCGCTCGACGCTCAGAGACTACATCTCTCCGTTTGGGATCACCACCTTAGAGGACGTCGTCACCGACCTCGCCGACCTCAACTGGAAGGAGTGCCGCGTCACATCCATTGAAACCCAAAATTAAAAGGAAAAGAAAAAGGCAATTTTACCCTATTTCTTTCCTCTGCTCTCTGATTTCAGCAGCAGCCTAAGATTCCTACCACCATTCAGTGGCAACACCCTTTTTGGACAAGATTTCGTCGGAAGCCGACCAACTCGAAAGAGATTTCCTCGTTCCCTACTGATTATTTCTTCAACATTGGGGTAGAATTATGAGAGTGAAAAGGCAGAAGCGTCATCGGAAGAGTGTGAGGTTCTACACAGCATGCTACGGCTTCAGACAGCCCTACAGGGTGCTATGCGATGTTACTTTCGTGCATCACCTCATCACCAATCTCATTACCCCTGCTGACAAGGCCATCTCTAATGTCCTTGGTGCCCCTGTCCTGCTCTTCACCACCAAATGCGCCATCGCCAAGTTGAAACAACATGGTCCAATGCTTGGTCCTTCGTATTCACAGTCTCTTGAAGCTGCTAATAGCCTTATTACTGCAAGGTGTGATCACGAGAGTCACGTGAGTGCTGAAGATTGTATATTGGATGTTGTTGGGCAAAGTAATTCCGAGCACTTCTTTGTTGCTACTCATCACGTTGATCTTCATCGGAAACTTCTCAAGACACCAGGTGTCCCTGCTATTTATGCTCTGAGGACTGCTCTTTTGTTTAAGTCCCCTTCTGATAACCAACACCAATTTGTCAAAACTTTTAAAGAACAACGCTTGCATATGACTAACTTGGAATATAAGTTGTTGAAGAAGCAAAAGAATATTTCGAATTCTCTTAAAATAAATGATCCTCCTGGTGAAGAAGATGGTTATGGAGATCAGAACATGGAAGCGCAGGCTGTAGCAAATAGGGATATTGCTAGGATAGGATTGGGCGTGAAGGATAAAGTTCAATTTAATAGAAAGAAGGCAAAGGTACTACCAAACTCATTTCTTTCATGTTCCTCCTGGAAACACATAACCTCCACCCCTGCCCCTCCTGTGAGCCCTAGCCACGACGTCGTCGAGTACTTGCAACTCCAACAATCATTGTCGTTGGTCCTTGATTACAGACCCTACGGTGTCGTTTCTGCTTCCGGGACTGCTCGTCCAGAGAAGAAACTGGTGCCAAAGAGGAAGAGGAAGCGATCACCGGTAGCCACCGATTTCGCTCGTGCTGCTCTGGACTCTGTTTCGTACGGATCTTGCTGACGTCACAAACTTACCCTTAAACTTGGCTCTGCTGGAGACCATCTCGCTGCTTTCTTGGCTTTGCTGTAAACCTGCAATGCAGTAGAAAAAAGAGAAAGGGCAGAAAGTGAAAAGAAAAAAGCAAAAGCAAGTCTGTGTAGGTGAAGATGTATGTAAGTGGAAAAGAGAAAGAGACTGAGTGAGAGAGGTGCGGTGCAAAAGAGGAAAGCAAAAGTGGAATAAAAGAAAAAGAGGAAAGAGGAAAGCACTTGGACAAGTATACTGACCTTTTACAGCTAGAGTACACCAGCTGGTGTTCAGATCTCGTGATGTATATTGACCTTTCATCATGCATATTCCCATTTTAAAAACACCCATCCAGAGAACATGCAAAAGTATCAAAGTATGAGAGACCATGCATGCTGACCAAACCTGCCTTCACGTGAAGTTTTCCTCCAACAGCTGGACCGTTGAGGTTGATATCAAGGGAGAAATCTTGCTGTCGCCAAGTCCCAGCAGTTCTTTTTTGAACATGTAATTTATTTTTCTTATCTTTCGGAGACATCTGTATAAACCCCATCAGAGGGTTAAAAAAACAGCAAGCCCAAAATAATGGGCTGGAATGCTGTGTGGAGGGCGAAGACCCATATGCCCAAAAGAGCCAAGCCCTATGACTCCAAAATTATTCAGCACCTTGCCGCTATTATCACGAACCAGGTGATCCAAAGTACGTCCAGTACTATAAAAAATTATTCGGCAGCCTTCCTCTATTACCACCAACCAGGTGATCAAAAGTACGTCTAGTACTCCAAAATTATACATAAGCATCACTCATGTCAATCATACATAAACATTCATGAGCATCACTCATGACAATCATACATAAACATTCATGACCATCATTCATGTCAACATTCATGAGCATTACTCATGTCAACATTCATGAGCATCACTCATGTCAACATCCATGAGCATCATTCATGTCAATCAACATAAACATTCATGAGCATCACTCATGTCAGTCTTCATTTACAGAGCTCTAGCTTCAAAAGATTCATTTACAAAAGCTCTAGCTTCAAAAGCTTCATTTACAAAGTTCTAGCTTCAAAAGCTTCATTTACAGAGCTCTAGCTTCGAAAGCTTCATTTACAGAGCTCTAGCTTCAAAAACTTCATTTACAAAAGCTCCAACTTCGAAAGCTTCATTTACAGAGCTCCAGCTTCAAAGCTTCACTTACAAAGCTTCACCTACAAAGCTTCAGTGCAGGGTATACAAATACCACCTCCGAACAACCGCCACTTCGGCCCATACATGGATTCAATTTGAAGTCTCCAGCCAACAGACTCTATTGACTGAAGACTTGAGGGACTACATTATGTACCATATATTGGGCCTCAACTGGGCCTCATGAAAAATACTTGGGGGACTTAGCCCATTATTTATGTATTGAGGACGAGTCTTTATTCTATAAAAAGGACTTCCTCACTTTCATTAGAGAGCATTCATTATTCATGTACTGAAGAGCGAGCCCTTATTTTATAAAAAAGACTCCCTCACCTTCATTAGAGAGCATCGCCGACAGCTAAGCAACCGCCTCGCCGCGAGCATCACTCCTAACCCATTATTCATGTACTGAGGAACAAGCCCTTATTTTATAAAAGGGACTCCCTCACCATCATTAGAGAGCATCGCCGCCTGCCGAGCAACCGCCTCGCGGCGAGCACCAACTCTAGCCCATCTTTTTTGTATTGAGAAGCGATCCCTTATTCTATAAAAGGGACTCCCTCACCTTCAACACCACAAGCCGAGCCAACCAAGACAACATAAGCCGCAAGCTGAGCAGCCTCGCAACATGTGCTACTTTTAGTTGAGTATCACTTCAGATTGAGCACTGCTTCATATCGAGTATCAGTTCAAGACGACATCTAGTTACTTCGGCTCACACATGGACTGAATTTCAAGTCTCCAGCCAAAAGACTCTCTTGACGGAAGACTTGGGGGACTACTGTTTGTACCATACTTAGGGCCTCCATATTTAGACCTCGTATAAATACTCGGGGGACTCAAATGTAATTATGTAATAAATGGATGGGCAAATATGTAATAAGTGAGGATCCCTTATTCTATAAAAGGGCCTCCTCACCCTCACAATCCTAAAGCTCCCTCATCTCTCTCAAGCTCTCATGCTCACAAAACAGATAGCCCTCTGAAACTCTCCCTTTCTCTCTGGGGGACTCCCCCTCACCCTTGTAATCCATACATACAGTCAGAGAAATACAATCAATGTGGACGTAGCCCAAACATTGGGATGAACCACCATATATCTTGTGTTATTTACTTTCTTGCAGATTCACGGTCGGATTTACGTTATTCCAAGACTCCTCCGATTTTGTGCATTAACACACTCTAGTGCAGATTTGATCTTGTTGATTCCCCTTCTTCGCAACATTTAACAATTTAACTCTCTAACGCTATTGTTGATAAAAAAAATAGAATATTATTTGCACTCTAAACTTTTTATATATAGAAATAAAATACATTTATGTGAGAAATGAGAATAAACATCTAGAATGAGGATAAAAGTTGTTTCTTGATTTACCATATCAATAATAAAAAATAAAAAAACTAATGAAAAATGTTTGAAAACTTTGAGTTTTAACGATAAAGACAAAATAAAAGGTAAAGTGAATAGTATCATGATTGACTTTTTAGTGTAAAAATATGATTTTTTTATTAAAGTGTACCGGAAACTTTTCGTTAAAATTTCTTTAAAAAAAACTCTAATAGTACAAAATAAAAAATAAAAAATAAACAAAAAAAATCAATCGTCAACTACTCCAACTCATGTTAACTTTTTCCCATTCTGATAAGAGGCAACCCCTTTTACTCGCTTCCCTCCCTTTTCCTTTTTGTTTTCCTTCTTGTCGCTCTTTTGTTCTGCCGAAGATATCCGAGGATCCTTTTTCTAGGATCCCGGGAATCCAGTGATTATAATCGTTCATCATATATCGTGCGGTTAGTTTTCATTAGATACTATTTATATTTAATTTTAAATTTTAAATTTCAAATTTCTGACCACACGATGTACGATAAACGGCCACAATCATGGAATTTCCAGGAAAAGAATTCGGCAAGGGTCCTTCTTGGTTGTAATCTATCTCGCGCTTTGTCGATTAAAACTTTAAAAAAAATAAAATTAATGAAAAATGCTTTAAAACTCTTAGTTTTAACGATAAGGACAAAATAAAAGATAAAGTGAATAGTACTAGGTTTGACTTTTTAGTGTAAAAATGTAGTTTTTTGTTAAAGTGAACAGTACCGCGGACTTATTATTAAAACTCCCTTTTAAAAAGGTAAATCTAGAGACTACTACTCACCTCAACCTCAAATCTTAAAGCAACGGTTGTTGTTCATATTCGACATTGTGGTTTTTTGTTAATTCTTGTGGTTTGTACGTCTGACTAATGACAATAAGGATGAAGCTCGATATTTTTTTAAGGTTACTCATAACAGTGGCTTCTTTGCTGACGGTTACTCATGGTGCTTTTATGGTAGTTATTCAGCTCGCCTTACTTCTCATGAGTGTTATATTCTATGTTGGTTGGATGTGGGTCATTTATGGCTAAGAAATTGTATTTTATTTCTAATGAGCTTGTAATGTGGAGTTGCGGTGTTTATTTTGGCATATGTGGCTTCTTGTTCTTGATCCAAAGATTTCATGCGTTTTTTTCATAGGTTAGTTTTGCTCCAACTTCACATTTGGCATGCCTAATCCTATGAGTTCTTGATCGTTCTTAATGAAGTTTCATATTATCTTTAAAAAAATAAAAATAAAAATAAAAAAAATAAAAAATAAAAAAAAACACTAGCTAGCTAAGACTCATTCATTCCAATATAAGCATGACATTCTTAAAGAACAAATACATTATGCAAACAAAGTAAACATCTTTTATCGTCAAAGACATTTGCCAGTTGGCACCTTATACAACAAATTGTTAACTATATGCTAAAACATATTTTTCGAGAAGTTAATATGAAAGCATATGATTTTACTATGTTATGACACAAGTACAGCCAATCTAGTAGTTCAACAATTGTTTTCATGTAATGGTTTTTAGGTTAAACTTTGACATGTTTGATAATAAAACCTGCAGAGGATTGTCGTTTTTTTTTTTTCTTCAAAGAAAAAACAAAGTAAACTGAGAGAGAGAGAGATAAAGAGAGAGAGAGAGAGATCACAGATGTTTTAATTTTGAATGCTTAATGAATGTCTCAAGAATATACGATTTACAACTTGGGAGGTGTGGGGGTTTCAGTTTCAGTACTGCAGACATGGAGACATTATCCATGTCTGCCTCACCGGGTCTCAGGTAGTTTTCGATAACCCCACATGTCCCCCACTACGTACATACATATATCTCTTCTAGATTGTAGAAGATGCAAGGCCCTTGGCAACAATTAATAATCCCAATTGTAGTTCTCCTTCCTAGATTGGATTCGTTCGGACCTTTAGCGAGTATTCCTCCAAGAACTTGCACACCCGAAGGCACCATGGCCTCATCTGCAATTTGCAAGCCGTCTGTAAAACAGTGCGATATCATGTATTCAACTTTAATTTGATCAAATAACATCATCAGCTCTAAGCACAGAATAGGAACCAACTGAACCAACTAAATGAACCAAGAAAAAAATTTGTTATATATTTTAGGGTAGGTTATAATTTTCTGGTAAGAGAATGAGAATCTATTTCATGATTTCACCAACGTGACGCACAAAACGACGTCAGAGCCACTTCATACATCTTAATCATCATGGTTCACACTTGCAGCAAATCCGAACGGTAAAGACGCAATTGGAGGCGTCGTACGCGCTCCAGAGCCCAACAAAGAGGCGGGAACCAAGGAAGAGCCGTACACGTGTATGGTGAGATGTTGCACACCACGTGGGAAGGTGGTGAGAGTGGGTCTCCACCTTGTCACCTTGATGTGTGGGGCCGTGGGGGCGGTGCGGTAGGAGCCTATGAGCTAGGGCTTTGTCTCTCAGCTTGTTCACAGTACACCGTGAGAGAGAGAGAGAGAGGGCAAGTTGTGGAAAAGGCAATCATTTGATGGGTGCTTGGCAGCGTCTGCTCACTAGTCCCCATGGAGATTATGTCTGATGCTGACACCTTTTGGTCATTCCTTGTTTGCACTCTGCAACCCCAGCACCATAGCTATCATGTTTACATATTCTTCCACCTCTGCAGTCGCTAAACTGTGTTCTCGTTCAATACAAATCGTATTGAAGATGTTAGGATGTGGAGCACTTTCCCATTTCAGAAAGAAACTTTGCAACAACTTTATCATAAGGTGTTGGGTTATTGTCAATTTAATCAATTGGTCTTTATGTTGTACGAGTGGGTTATCACGCATGTCAAGCACAATGACATGACTTAATATGTTTATCTCATTGTGTTGTTTAAACGTTTTACTTGATATCGTTTTACTTGAAAGTGTAAAATATTATTCATATCAAAAAGTTAAGAAATTCTATGAAGATTTATGAAAAGTTTAACTACTTAAAATTATAATTAATTTATAATGCCGTAGTGAAACTTTAACTTCATTTAGAATATTCGCATCTAGAGTGTTTTTTTTTAACAAACGATATTATCAAAACTAAGGGAATGGGTTAAGCATCACACTGGATTAACAATAATATGGTTCAAGTTTGCCTTTGAGCGAGAATCTAATCTAAAACCTATCGTTTATAAGTGAATAAGAATATTACTAGACCGTAGTACTAATTAGCTATTCACACGCATAATTAATCGTCTTATAACTCACAACCACAAGTCAATCATTAGGTCATCAGTAATACTAAAATTATATTATCCTACTTATATTCTTTTATTGTGGTTGAAAAGTAGTGGTGGGTTTAAGCTTTTAGCTTTCTATGCATATATTCATAAATATAATATTTAAGTAAACTTTTCTGTGCATGTTAGGTTGATTTTACATATACTTTCTACCTCTTTTGCCTATTATTTAGTTATGATTTCTGTTGGAGTTTTGCAGGAAATATGATTTGAGAACAAAACATGAATTTCATGGTTAATATACGAGAAAACAAAGGAATTCATGAGATGGGCTGCGTGAGGTTTGCTGGACTTGTGCAAGTCAGTCTAATATTGGGATATGGGGCAGCGCAAAATAGTCTAAATTGTGTAAATTGGCAAGCCCAGGTTTCTAATCCAATTGGTGGGGCGGTGCTGCTCTAATTTCCTAATCCAAATTAGTGCTCATAATGTGTGCCACAAGGATTGGTATTAATCTCCTTGTTGCGTCAGATAAAAGGAAGTAAAGAAGACAACATAATAAGGACACCAGCGGCACAAATTGAAGGAACCTCCAAGCACATTCACTCGTGTAATACAGAGAGGGAGAGAGAAGCCGAGAGACCTCAAGAGTGTACTACTATCAACAGTGTACTACTACTTTTAATATTTGATATTAAATTATCTTTTCAATGTTTTCACTTGTGTTAGAAGTCTGAAGTTCAATTTTAATAAGTGATGGCGTGTCGTGTGACTTAGCCAAAATTTGTACTAGAAGAAAAAGAAAAAGAAAAAGATTTCAACTTTGGGCCCTTTTTTTGGTTGGGAAACCCAAATAAGTGTCACCCATCTATTTAAACCCAAAGCCCATTCTAACCTAATCGACCTACACAATATTCAAAAAATGTCAACCGAAGCTTAAGCAGGCAAGTAACCTTTTACCACAGTAATCGAAAAGTGTTGAATCCTTGCATAACTTCATAAGCCATGAATTTAAACCCCTAATCTAACATCTAATAAAAAAAAATCTATTGTTCGATAAAAAAAAATTAAAAATAAAAAAAAAAAAAGAAAAAAAAAAAACAAAGCCCAAGCAGAGATAGGAAACCCAAATGCCAAATTCAAAGTGTACAAATTTCACAGCCGAAGCCCGCCGAAGAGCGGTTGACACGACATGTCCAGCTGGCACAAGTTGAATCCCCCTCACAAACCTGCAACGTGTCAGTCACCCTCTTGCCCCAAAGTCACGCCGTGGACTTGTCCGTCGGTCGTCCCCCGCCCTCGTCACAAAACTCCGAAATGTAAAACATCAACTTCAGTTCTCACCATTTTTCTCTGAATTTCTGCGAATTTATTTCCAAAACCAAGAAAAATTAATATCCAAGAGATCCCAAGGAAATCGGAAAATGAAGGCGGAGGCTTTGACTCTGGTTCTGGTCAACTTGGCCGGTATCATGGAGCGAGCCGACGAGTCGTTGCTGCCGGGCGTCTACAAGGAGGTCGGCGCCGCTCTGCACACCGACCCGACCGGGCTCGGCTCGCTCACGCTCTTCCGGTCCATTGTGCAGTCCGCTTGCTACCCAATTGCGGCGTACCTGGCCGTGCGCCACAACCGTGCCCACGTCATTGCCTTCGGCGCCTTCCTCTGGGCCGCCGCTACTTTTCTCGTCGCGTTTTCCTCCACTTTCACCGAGGTAACTTGGACAGAATTGGTTCTGTTTGGCATCCCCCGTCTTGGGTTTTGTTTTGTTTCTGAAATTTTCTCGGTTGCCAAACAGAAAGTTAGTGTCTTTATTGGGTCGTAGCTGCTGATTGTGATTTCAATTTGTGGAGTTGTGGATTGGGTTTTCCGGTAATGGTGGTTTGATGTGACTGTTGAAGATTAGACTTGGATTGCTATTTATAGTAGTATGGGTTCTTTTTTTTCGAATTTAGAACAACTGTTGAGAGAGTATATAAATGCATGAGATACTAGTATGATCGAATAATCGAACTTGGAGCAAAGAGTTTGGGGATGTTTTGTGTCAACTTCTACAACTTCTAGTATATTTCTATGTTAGTTATAAGTGAAGAACTGCTTGAAAAGCTTAGGGAGGCAAATAAAAGGAATTTAAACATAATGGTTGCTTGTTGCTTCGGTTTCTAGCTAAATGAATGGTGTACATTACCTACGCAAGTAGGTGATTTAAATTTTGGTTTGAGTGTGATTGAGTGGTTGTGGTGGATGAATTTCACTTAACGGACATATTTGGCCGTTCTAGCAGAGACAGTGAGATTTGGTGATATTGGTCTTTTCATAGAAATTATGGTATCAATAGTTGAACTCGGATGCAATGCATGTGTTCTCTGGGTAACTCAAATATATAGGTATGGTTTCAATAGTTGAACTCAGATGCAATGCTTGTGTTTTTGAGTTAACTCAAATATATAGATGTGCAATCAAAATTTGTTTCTTTTGAAACAAGTAAAAGCCTTATAGAAATGAACGCATAAGTTGAGCCCAAGAGGAGTTTAAAATTTGGTGGGAGCGTGATTCTTTGGCTCAGATTTTGGATATATTGACATGATAAAAGAGGATTCGTTGGTAAAGTTTATATTTTTTTTGTTAAAATGATACCCAAAGTGTTACTTCCTTATTGTCATGCATCATAACCGATATTGACAGTTTCACTTCTATCCCGCCTCTTATTCGGTACTTATCAAATCAGAAAAGAACAGCCCAAAGGACGTGCATGTGAATAAGTTATATCGGTATAAAATCTTGTCACAGAAGATAGAAAAGTAAAGTGTTTGTTATGAAATAGGGCTTTGCCAAGTTAATTTATTATAATTGTCATTTTACAATGCATGTATTTGAACTTAATCGATTAGAAAGGGAGTTATTTACTAAAGTTATCAAAACAAAAGGACAGAAGTATCATTAAGTTGAGCGTGATTCCAGCTTGTTATATCCACTTTGAAGTCCTTCAGCTTTTATTGATCAGGTGGCTATATCCAGAGCTTTGAATGGGATTGGCCTTGCTCTAGTTGCTCCGGCTATGCAGTCCCTTGTAGCTGACTCAACTGATGACAACAACCGCGGTATGGCTTTTGGATGGCTTCAACTAACTGGCAATGTTGGTTCGATAATTGGTGGCCTTTGTTCGATATTAATAGCTCCAATAACAGTCATGGGTATCCCTGGATGGAGAATTTCCTTTCACCTTGTTGGATTAATTAGTGTTTTAGTTGGTGTTTTAGTCCGTCTGTATGCTACTGACCCACACTTTCCAGATGGCGAAACAAAAGATAGCAGTCAGAATTCCAGTAGTTCCTTGTGGTCACAAGTGAAGGAACTGGCCCTTGAAGCTAGGTCGGTTGTTAAAATTCCTTCTTTCCAGATTATTGTGGCGCAGGGCGTTACTGGTTCGTTTCCCTGGTCAGCATTGTCATTTGCACCCATGTGGTTGGAACTCACTGGCTTCTCTCATGGGAAATCCGCTTTCCTCATCGCCTTGTTCGTGATTGGAAGTTCCCTTGGTGGCTTGTTTGGGGGTAAAATGGGAGATATCCTTTCCACACGTCTTCCAAACGCAGGAAGGATTATACTAGCACAAATAAGCTCCGCAACTGCCATTCCTCTTGCAGCAGTTCTTCTGCTTGCATTACCTGTGGATCCATCTACGCCTGTCATCCATGGTTTCATGTTGTTCTTCATGGGATTCTTTATTTCATGGAATGCTCCGGCTACAAACAAGTAAGTCTTTGAAATTTCTTTTCGACATATAGATTAGATTTATATTTTGTAGTTCTGTCTGTCTTTAATGTCCCTTACTCTTTTGCAGAAAGTAAATTGAAATGACTAATGTGTTAAATTTGATGTCATGGTCCATGCAGTCCCATTTTTGCGGAGATAGTTCCTGAGAGATCGCGAACAAATGTATATGCTTTGGACAGGTCATTCGAGTCCATACTCTCATCATTCGCTCCTCCAGTAGTTGGGATATTGGCTCAACACATGTATGGTTATAAGCCAGTTCGTCAAGGGTCCAGTGCATCGGAAGAGATTACCACGGACAGAGGGAATGCTTTGTCGTTGGCAAAAGCACTATACACAGCAATAGGAATTCCAATGGCTCTCTGTTGTGTCATCTACTCATTCCTATACTGTACCTACCCAAGAGATAGGGAGCGGGCTCGGATGGAGGTTTTAATAGAAGCAGAGATGCAACAAATAGAATTAGAAGATTCGCCTGCTGGAGAAGAATATTCACGTGCTCGGTTTCCAGAGTCGGAAGAGCTGTATGTGACTGATGAAACTGTCATTGATGTGGAGTATGAGGGTGAGGATGCTGCTGGTTCCGATACCGATGAACAGACACTGCTGTACCGCCAGTTAACGTTTGCCAATATGAGCCGGGAGTAATCAAACCGGAATCTCACTGAACACTACAACTTCATTTATGCACATCCAAATACTATAAATGTGCAGAAGAATGGTACCCGTCCTGTTTTGACCCCCGACCGGAAAATGAGCTAGAGAAAGGCGTCATTGATACTAACCAACAGCCTGAGTTTGACAACAGAAACAGAATGGTTCTTTGTTAGCTTTCTTTCCATTGTAACCGCTTACTTTCTCGAGAGAAATATTTGGATAAAACGGTCATACCACGTCAATTTTGCGTATGTGATATAACAAATTGATAACGAGATGAAACACAATCATTCATGGTGAATCATGACATTTATGTTTCTTTACATAGGAACAAATTCGAATGCTTACTCCCAAACCAACCCTATACAAAGCAGGGGAGATTGCTTGTGGCACAAGAATACTGTAATTAATTAAATGGGTTTTGTGGCAGAAATCATCACAAAACGCCCATTCCTCACTTTGGTAAAACCTACCAGTCCACATGCTTGGCAGATATCTTGTAATTCACTTTCTGACGTGAAGAGTTGGTTGCCCGACATTTGCTTTGTTCTCTACGAAACAAAAGACATAAAATCAACACCCAGTGAGAGGGAGATAAAATAGAGTCGTAATTCCAAACCATTCACCACATAACACACATTCAGCGGAATCCCAAATCTGCAACAATCAAACTTTGGAGTGGAACCGATGTACCTGTGCTATGTTCCTTTGAAATGGGATGAGCGAAAAAGGCCCGTCCCATATGAAAGTGGTTGCAACAAACACCCCGCCGGGTCGCAGGACTCGACTAATTTCAGCAACCTTCAAAACCACAGCTACCAAATTACTCAGGAGAAACTACCAGGTTAAACTAAAACTGGAAAACTGGGGAGAAAACACATTTGGTTCTACCAGATAATGTTAATATTACATCTGCACAGATAATATTACATCTTCCTCCAAAGCAAGGCTGGCTATTTTCTTATTTTTCTTTAAGAAATCTTAAAGGTATGTAGTTGAATGTGCCCAAAATGAAAAATGTTTCATTAACTTATTAGAGACAAATTTATTAGCATCAAGGACATGTAAATACTTTTCACCGCTGCTAATACGTTAAGATTTGTGCCTTCCAGGTAGTCAAAACAAGCAGCACGGTTAGCTCTAACACCATATATATATATATATACACACACACACACACACACACACGTACAGCTGATGATGGTGAAGGCCAACAGTGTATGGCAGCACCAGCATGCACTGCATCGACAGAACTAGTAGCAAAGGGAAGCCTAGAAATATCAGCTCTGACCAGGATCATGTTCCTAATAAAAAAAACAAACTTAATCAGGCAAAAAACAAAATTGATAACAAAATTTCTGAAACATCCCTAAGAAGTTCAAACCGGATAGTATTTTAAACTTTGAGCTTTATCATCTAAATTTGAATGAAAATTTCAAGGTTCTGTACTCTTTGGGAAAGTTATCCTCCTGCTGAATGAATCCATAGCACTCTTTCAACATGTTCTCTGAGTAGTCCAAGGCAACAACAAGAGAAAATAATCCGCTCTTAGCAAAAAGTCTAGAAAACATCCCACTCCCACAACTTGCATCAATGATATTTCCACCACCCAAGACTGGCTTTAAGAAATCCTTAATCAACTCAAACTGCAATAAAAAATATGCCGCGGTTAGCAACTCAACAACCTCCTTTGGCAAGACAAATGAGTACACACTGGTAAAATATGACTGTTTTTTCAGTTTTTCAAACAACTACATTGCAACACAATGATTTTATCTGTTTTTCGATGCCGTGATCAGAATAGAGCACTTTTTCTACCCTTTCTTTTCTTTTCGAGAGAAACGTTAACTGGCGATCATTGGCAGTGGAGCTTCTTAATTTAAGTAAATACTATCCTTAGGCCCGAAATAAAATACTTCAATAGAAAATTGATTTTCACTTCATAATTCATATGTAACCGAACGAAATGGACTATGTCGTTCCCTGTCCAAAACTCCAATATTATATGAAATATTGTCCGTCGGCACACTTCGCAACTTTCTAAAGCTTGTATGACAGTATGAGTTACAACGCAACCTATCAAATACTCTATTTTGAAATTTATAAAGGACATTTGATAAGCCATTGAGATGATAAAATCTGAAATAAAGTAACTGATCATCTTACCTCTTTCTCTGGGCCAGGAAATCCACCCCATACAGTAAAGCTTTGACGCCAACCCCTCTCATAGAGGTACGATACCAATGGAGTCCTGATGCAACAAAAAGTCACTAATCAACATATAGAGATGCAAAGTTTCAACATATTCATGAGGTATTAGGAAGTACTATTGGTAATGCTTTGAAAATTGTAATGTGGTAGATGCAATCAGTTCAACTAGGTTCATGCCTCATCTATGCCAGAGAGAATAAAGTTGACCACAAGGGGTCTATGAGAACAGAAAGAATCTCATTCACATAATAAGAGTCAAAGAAGATACATGATCTCCTAACATATGTACCAAATCAAGCGGCAAAAGATCAATAGACTAAACATCAGATGTTATTCTGCACCATAAGCCCATAACTAAAGCCTAATTTTGTTTTTACTATGCGAGATATATTCAAAGAGATGGAGAAACTAAAAGGATTCAGGTCCGACTCTACTTCGGCCATGTTTATTCACCATCCCCATTTAAAATTCATTGCAAAACCAAATGATTACCGCATATGATTTGTACAATTAAAGCTAAATACAATTTCAATACCTAAACATTTCTGTGGAAACGGGCTTTGATTCCCCATAGTCCTTTGCGCCACTTGCTGTTGTCAGGTCAATATGTGTTTCGTTGCCAAAGTAAGTCTTCTTACAAGTCCTACATTGAAAACTAGACCCAGAAACAGACTCACTGCAAAAGCATGCCACTCCCAAAATGAACGAAAAGCGAATCAAAATTATACAATGCAACCTCAAGTAATTATAAATATAGCTTCAAGTAGAATCCGTTGTATAAATTTTTATTGTTACTGTGCTTGATTTTGCATCAAATCTTTTGATAGCTTCAAGTACTTTATGCTCTTTTCTTCTTAAAAGCAAGTTCTTCCCTCCCAACTGCTAGGGGATTGGGTGATTCAACCAACCAAAACCAATAAAATGAGCTCCAGCCAATGCCAAATAAGTCGGACTACAATAAAAAGGAGAAGCCATGACTACTCAATCGGGACAAATCGCCCAACTCAACGCCTAAGGCAGTGTGATGACAAGGTGATGTCACCCATGTTTTAATTTTTTTGCGTTAGGCGGGTGGGCTTCAAGCGTGAGTGGATTGATCAACCATGTAGCGATTGGGCTCGCGCTGCAGATGCTCTCACGTCCCAGTCATTCTATCTTACGTTCAGATTTTTCAACAAAAATGTTTTTTTTCTTCAAAGAAAGAAAAATTTGAAGAAAAAAAATAGTAATTAACTATTATGGCCCACGTGGCACAATATGGGATGGAGAAGCACTTAGCCAGTTAAAGTCAATTGCCCCGGTAATTTCTTTATAGGGTGGAAAAGCACTCAGCCAATTACTATTCGCTAAGGCAGTAATTACATTTGCTCAATAGCCCAGACAATTTATTTTACGGGGTGGAGATGCACTTGGCAATTTACTGTTCACCAAGACAGTAATTGCCTTTACTCGATAGCCGAGGAAATAATTGCCTTAGTTGGTTGGAGTTGCTCTAAAGTCTATTTCCAAGTTTTCCTCTACGCTTTTCACCCTAAGGTTCTATTACATAATCACTTTTTCTCACCGGAGCATATGTGAGCCTTTGTTTCATATGTCCAAACAACCTTAACCTACTTTCTCTTATCTTATCTTCAAATGCGGCCACTTGTACTTTACTTTGGATCTCGTTCTTAATTTTGTCATTCTCGTATGCCCACACATCCAACGAAATATTATGCTTGACCGATCAACATTCCGTGCAATAAAGTATTGTAAGCCTTATTGCCATACGACAAAAATTTTGCTTGACATTTAGTGTCATACGATGATTGTACAATACACCCTATGCACTCTTACACTTCATCCAACTTGTATTTTATGGTTTAGATCTTTATCCAATTCCCCGTTCTTTTGCAAGATAGATCCAAGATAATGAAAGCGCTCACTTTTTTATACTTCCCGATCCCTAATCCTCACCCCAAATCTCATTTGGACCTCATCCCACTGAACTTGCGCTCCATAAACTCTATTTTGACCTACATAGGCGAAGCATTTAGATTGCAACACTTCCCGCCAAAGGTTAAACTTCACATTTACTCTACATCGTTAACTCATCCATTACCAATGAAAAAAGGTAAGAATTTATAGCTGAGTCTTGCTCTATCATACATATCCTTTATTGTTTGAATAATGCTACTCGTACTCCTTTCTTCTCTAGAATCCTCCAAAAAATTTCTCTTATGACCATATCATACACGTATTCTAGGTCTATAAAGATCATGTGCAAATCCTTTTGCATATCTTTATATCAATCTATCAATCTTTGTAAGGCATATTTTGCCTCCATAATGGATGCCATGACATGAACTCGAATTGATTGTCTGAGACTTGTGTCTTTGGATGGCAATGGTTCAGGTTGGGAACGAAATGCCATATCCAATCCTTATAACCACAAAAATTAAATATTCATAACTGCAAATTAACCATTGGGGATTATCCATAACTATACTCATCGGGTAACGAATTCCTCATCGGTTAACGGGTATAGCCTTTTATGTTTATGCAAAAAAATTTATTTGTTCAACTGACACATTATATTTTAATAGATAATAATTATATTACTTAATATCCACATCCAAATCTTCAAAATCACAACAATACATTTTGGAGATGTTCATGATAAGCTATTCACAGTTTTTCCCCTTATTTAAAAAGTACCCAGATGTTCATACCCAAATCCGCCCCATTCGGACGGTTATCCATGGTTATTGTGTTTAACGGTTGAATTGCCATCTCTACGTGTGCCCTCTTGCGTCTATGCTCAATTAATCTTTCCCAAAACTTCATTGCACGACTCATTAACTTAATACCCATATAGTTAATGCAGTTTTGTATGTCGACCTTTTTTTTTTTTTTTTTGTCAAACTAAGTTACTTTCATTAAATACAAGACTAGTACAAGGAGAAGAGAGCCCAAAGGTAAAAATGAGAGGAAACCAACATCCACCACCAAGTTAGTCGACGAGCCTTCATCGCAAGGCCACCATCACGAAGAGAAAGAACCAAACAGAACAACTGAATCAACGAAAAATGGGGGTGAGCGAGCCACCTGCGCAGTGAACGGTTCTGTAATCCTACCAAATAGTGCTAAATGCACTTTAACAACCATAGAAAACCCAAGCGCACCGTTGAGGAGAAGCACCTAGGCCAAGCAGCAATGGTTGGTACTTGAGGACATGCGATGGAAAGAAGCATCGGAGAAAGAGAAGTGCATAAAGGCCCCGATGTGAGACAAACTCAGGGAAATTGTGACAAAGCCCAAGGAATTGAGACATAGCTCAAGAAAAGCCAAAATAAAGCAAAAGTAGAGTAGTGCAGGAAAAAAAACGGAAACAGAGGAGGAGAAAAAGGAAAGTAAAGAAAAGCTTGAAAGGGGGAAGCAAAGGGGTTGGTGGGGGAAAGGGGGAAGAAAGGTGCTTGGAAGGGAATAAGTGGGGGAAATCGGATGAAAGGGTGGAAACCAAAAGAACAGGGTGGAAGAAATGGAAAGATGAGGAGGCTGAAAAAAAAGGGAGAGATAGTGAGAAAGGGAGGAAACAAAAGGGTGGAAAATGGGGAGGGCGGAGGGTGAGGAGTAGGGGTGGGCGCGGTGCGGTTTGGTGCTGTTTCGAGTGAAACCACAACCGAAATCGAAACTTTTTGTGGTGCGGTTTTGAAGCCAAAACCGAAATGAAACCAAACCGTTTGGTTCGGTTCAGTGCGGTTTCAAACGGTTTCGGTTTGGTTTTTGAGAAAAAAATGTACAATTTAAAATATACACATATTTATGCACCAAACGGTTCAGTGCGGTTTCAAACGGTTTTTAAGATTGTCTTATTTTCCTTGTATATTAATTAATGAATATGCACCAAAATTGCACCAAAAACAGCAACAACACCAAAAACTGCAGCAAAACAACACCAAGAACTGTACCAAACCTGCAGCAAAAAACTGCACTGAAACTGCAGCAAAAAACTGCACGAAACTGCACAAAAAACAGCAGCTAAATGGTAGGGAATTATAACGCACCACAAAGTAGCACACAATAATCCTATTAATTTTCCTTATTAACACTAAGATTTGTCGATTGTAGCATATGAAAATAAGGGTCTTTCCCGCAGAAGATTGTTTTATCCAAATACTTAAAATGTCACAAAAACGGGTGCTGTCTCCACTGACCAGCCACCAAACAATAATTATTAAACTAACTTATACTTATCCAAATGCAACGAAATTTTATACACATAAACTAGACACACCAAGCTATGCTCACACAAATTTTTGGGATTTTTGGATTTGATTTGCTATTTAAATTAAATCATGCAAAAACAGTACAGAAACCAATTTTAAATAATACCAATAGATTTTAATTCACAAGTTAAGAAAATGAGTTAGGGGACATGCTTTCCACCACCAAATAATCATGAGTATGTTATGTTTCATTCAAATTGCTTTTATTTCCGGATGAAGATGCTCAAGTTGGCTCAATGTTAGAACACAACTTATTACTCTTTCTTACGTAGTATGTTAAGAGAATGGTGTTTTCAACTTAACTTAGTCCCTAGCATGCAATCTAGAATGGTGTGTTCATAGATTTAACAAGTAGAAATCATTAAGAATAAAAAGAGTTTGAGTCATCACAAGGCATCGTAAGTACTGGTGTTGTCTTACTTCTCCTAGAAATCGTTTCACATGTTAACCACAATTAACAAATGCTACTCTAGAACATATGTAGGTCCTCATTCAACAAGGGCAGGCAGACATATATTCATAGCATTAAAATCCTAGATATGCTCACTATGTATGCATCCATAGAAACACATAAAGAATTTATCAATGAGATAAGTAGTGAAACAATTTTCATCCTTTCATAAAAGTCATTCAAACAAAATATCACAACAAATTTACGATCATATTCGGGGCTTCAAAACAGCCCCTAACTACTAAAAATTAGTTACACATTATCCTCAAATTAAACCAAACGTAAAACATGAGTTTGAGAAGATAACACCAATAAGAATGGAGTGAAGCCCTCTGCCTCTGTGCTCCTCTTCTTCCCTGTGCTTATTTCTGCGCCTAGCAAGTCCCTGACTTGCCCTTTGATTTCTCACTGCCCTCCTTATTTTCTGCGCTCTTCTCCCTTTTACACTGCTATCTTGGCCCTTTTATTTATCGTTGTGCCCTCTCCCGTGTGCTGCCCTCCTGTCAGTCTCTCTGTCCTCTTTGTATTCTTTTTCTCCATGTGCCATCCTCTCTGTCTTCTTCTTTATTTTATTTTGCTGTCAGTGATCTCCTCTTTCTCTCCGTTGGTTTTCTCCATCTGCTTCTGTTTCCTGTCTTCTCCAAGCTCACGCTGCAAAAGCAGCTGCTCTCCCGCACCTCAAGGCAGCTTTGCTGCTTCTGTACCTTTCTCACGCTGCCAAGGGCAGCTTTTCAATTTGGTCATTTTCTTCTGTGCTGGCACTCACGCTGCAAGGCAGCTTTTCTCTTCTTTCACTGGCACCCTCTGCACTCACTCTGCTTTTCTTATTTCTTATTCCTGCCAGTCTGCCATCCACTGCATTATTCTTTCTGTATTTTCTTTTGCTCTCAATCTTTCTTACTCTCTCTTCTGTTTCTCGTCTCTCCTGCTCTCCGTGTCTGCCCTCTCTTTATTTCCCCGCTCTTTTATTTTTCTTTTCTGCTTGCCATGCTGTTTTCTGCTTTTCTCGCTGGTTTTTGTATTGCTGTCATGCACTCCTTCTTTCTTCCACTAGTCCATGTCCTCCCACTTATTCTTTTATTTATTATTCTTCTCACTGCTCTTTTGCTTTCACGTTTTCTGCCTTCTGATTTCTTTTCTTTCTGCCATCCCCGTCAGTTTCTCCACCTCCTACAGCCATTTAAATTCACAATTAGTGCTCCACTTGCTCCACTTTAATGAAAACAATGCTAAAACAAAAATAACTGTATATTAACACAAGGTAAGGTAAAATGCCACAATTTTAACACAAAAACATCACAAAGACTTTAGAAATGGATGGTATAAATGCATGAAATATATGAATTATCAAATACCCCCAAACTTACATTTTTGCTAGTCCTCGAGCAAAACAAAGAAAACATGAAAAAGGAATAACATGAAAAACATTAGTTTTCCCCTATGTGACCCTCATAGAATTTTATTCAAGAAAACAAATCATCAAGAACCATAGCTAGCATCAAGGAACTAACCCAAGTTCATCTTCCTTATTCAAATATTAGCAGTAATCTTTGAATCATCCTTGAAGTGTAGTGTGTGAGATAGCCATGCTAATTCAATTTCAAAATTTTTATATTTTTAAAATCATCATATGCAAACTAGCAACCTTCTCACGGGATATACACTCAATCACACATGTGTTTAGTTTAAATGGGTTTCGCTCAAAGAATCAAATGTGAAATTTCTACCATAAGCTTGCATAAAGATCTCATCTCCACAATCGTAATTGCAAAACTTAAATCAAGAGGACTTTTATTGGATGTAATGAGGTTTAGGGAGAGGGTTTTTGAAATGAATGAATAGGCAAACACAAGTTCCAAGCTACATTGCAAGCAATTCTTTTGTTTAGATTTATAAGAACTCAAGCTCTCCAGCAATTCTTCTAGCACCTCCAACCACACCCTTAAACTGAAAAATGAACAACTTTTTTATTTCATTTGTATACAATCTTTCTTTTTCTTTTTTTTTTCTTTTTTCTTTTTTTTTTTTTTTTCTTTTTTCTTTTTAAATACAAACATGAAATACCCCCACACTTATTCTTTTGCCAAACACCTTCAAAGTACTTCACAAACATTTCTCACAAGACATTCTCACATTGCTCACTAGCTTGCTTGGAAAGGGTAAGGAAAAAAAATTTCAGGCATAAGGGTAGACATATCTGGTGATAAGAAATAAAAGGCTCAACATACACGGCTCAAATTGGCAATCTAATGATATCATTTTTCTTTGGGAAACATGGTTATTTGGGCCATAGTGGTAAACCTAATGCCTCTATCATTTCCAAGTTCATGCAATCAATGACAAACATTTCGAAAGATCGTTACGCAAGTTCTAGAGATGTATCTCACATAAGTTCATCACACATGAAAGAATAGGAGTGTATGAAAAATGCACACACTTTCAATCGGCTCAAAAACTTACATAGGATGTATATGGTCACTAAATTCACATATGAAGCTTTAAGTCATACTTTAGTTTCACATTAACAAGGCTATGTGCATTTGGTTTTTCAAAGATGGTCAAACATGTACAAAACTAACAAGAGAATTAGGAATTTCACAAAACACATGTTAACTAAGTTCTTGATGATCATGGTTCAAATTTGATCCAATTATATCATTGGGTCAGGACACTAACAAAAATCTAATTTAAAACAATAAGGGAAACAAGACAATATTTTTGGATTTTTAAATTTTCCGATTTTTTTTAAAATTTTTTTTTATTTTTTTAAAAGAAAACAAAACTAATTAAGAAAACAAAAAGCAACAACATGGAAACAAATGAAACTTGTTCGTAGTTGAAGGTACAAAAAATTTCAATTTGGTCATTTTTTATACTCTTTACCCCCAAACTTAAACTGGACATTGTCCCCAATGTCAGAAAACACTATAATGCAAATAAAAATAAAATAAATAATAAGAAACAAAATAAAACAAGTAGACTGAAAACTTCCCTAATTTGCAGTAAAATCAAGCGATGACCCCCAAGCTAAAATTCTGCAATCAACTTCAAGGGTGGAAATAACCAAAAGTTCCTGCAAAGAAAAGAAATAATTCAGTTAAGTGACACAAGAAAATATAAAAAAAATTGCAAACGAAAAATTGAAAATCACAATAAAAGACAATGAATAGAACTAATAAGTGGTCATTGGTCGTGCTTGTTGACTTTCCACAGCTTTCCTCTTGAACGGGGTGACACTTAGCTTTTTACTTGCAAGTGATGATTTGATGATATTGTACGGCGAAGCTTTGCTCTTTGGTGATGTTGCAGTTCCCTATTTGTTCTCCAAGCAGATGTGGCAGCTTCTCTAGTTCTTCAGCTCGGACTCCTTCCGCTGGGATGATTGTACAAGCTGCATTCTTCTCTGCTTGTTTCTTCTGTACGTTGTCTCCACATGCTGTTAGTATCATTTTCGCTTGCCTTATCTGTTCTTCAGGTAGATGTGGCAGCTTCTTTGGAAGTACATCAGCAGTGGAAGACGAGTACTCGAGAGCAATTTCTCCATGTCCTGCAGGTTAGAACAAAGACAAGGAAAAGGACATGGAGAATGCATGATATGAGATACTCTTGCTTTCAACCTTTATGATATGAAATACTTTTGCTTTGAATGGGTTGTTCGCAGGAGTATCCCAAGGAATGAGGAACACAGAATAACTTAGGAGGATTCTTTGGGAATGCATTCTCGGAGATGAAGAAGTGCTGAGAGGGTGTGCCTTTGCTGTGGAAGGCGAAGGTAAATACTTATAGGACTTTTCTTCACAACCGGAACTATTCTCTCACTCATTGTCGGCAGCCGGTGGATGGATGAATAGTACAAATTACGCGCTTTCTGACAAAGCTGCCCGTAATTTCCGCAAAGCTGCAAGTTGCATGTGACGAGTGACGACACGTCTGGACAAATTGATCTTTTGAAATCCGGGGTTCGGCTCGTGGTTTCTGAGCAAGCCCAGCCTTTAAGAAATGAAACGCCTCTTTTGAGAAAAGAATCCGGCTTTTGAGAAAGGAAACTCCTCTTTTGAGAAAAGAATCAGGCTTTTGAGAACGGAGCCCCGACTCTTCGATTTGCGAGAGGACGCCTCTTTTATTTCTGAGGAGCGCCTCTTTGATTTCTTCTTTTTATAGAGGCGTTAATTTTGTTCCACAACACACTTGAGCTCCCTCCTGTAAACACTCCCTCTTGCACTCCCAAAATCTTAATCAGTCCGACTCTCTTCTTTCTTCACCACCTCTGAAAAATGTATGGCCCTTCCGATCGTCGTTTTGACTTGAACATTGGTGAAGAGGCAGCTCCGCCTTCACCAGACAACATATGGCGCCCATCCTTCATATCCCCAACCGGTCCCCTCACCGTTGGGGATTCGGTGATGAAAAATGACATGACCGCTGCGGTGGTGGCCCGGAACCTTGTCACCCCAAGAGATAACAGACTGCTCGCTAGACGGTCTGATGAATTGGCGGTTAAGGAGTCTCTGGCTCTTAGCGTGCAGTGTGCGGGTTCTGTGTCCAACATGGCCCAACGCCTATTTGCTCGAACCCGTCACGTTGAATCGTTGGTGGCTGAAATACAGAGTCTCAAAGATGAGGTTAGAGGACTCAAGCATGAAAATAAACAATTGCACAAGCTTGCACACAATTATGCCACAAACATGAAGAGGAAAATTGACCAGCTGCAGGAAAATGATGGTCAAATTTTACTTGATCACCGGAGGTTTGTGGGCTTGTTCCAACCGCATCTGCCTTCGTCCTCTGGGGCTATACCTCGTAGTGAAGCTCCAAATGATCAACCTCTGATGCCTCCTCCTTCTGTGGCCCCGCCGACTGCTGAAGCTCCGCCGACTACTGAAGTTCCTCCTAAGCAGCCTATGTGAAGACTCCCTCATGTATTTATCTGCTTAATGTTCCTTTTTTTTTATGAATGTACAAGTACTTTGCAAGAAGTTGTGGTAGAGATTGCAACATCATTACCTGCATAACGGAACAAAAGTAGGACTTAAACACACAAAAACCAGAAAACAAGAGAAAAACAGAACAAGAACATTTAAAATTATTCAAAATAAAGATGAAAGATAAAAAGCTTGGGTTGCCTCCCAAGAAGCGCTTTCTTTAACGTCTTGCAGCCGGACGATGCCTCCAGTAATCATCCAAAGGGAACTGGTTCTTGGAGAGGTACAACCTCCACATCATGCTCGGCAAAAGGCTCGTAATATGGCTTGAGTCTATGCCCATTCACTTTGAACACGTTTACGGTCTTCGTACTTCGGATTTCCACTGCACCATGAGGAAAAATATTAGTTACAACAAATGGACCAACCCATCGAGAACGAAGCTTACCTGGAAATAATCGAAGGCGAGAATTAAATAGAAGAACTTTCTGTCCAATGACAAAGTTCTTCCTTAAGATCATCTTATCATGAAATGCCTTTGATTTCTCCTTGTATATTCGACTTGACTCGTACGCATCATTCCGGATTTCGTCTAACTCATTTAATTGAAGCTTCCTTTGCTTACCGGCAACACTCATGTCCATGTTGTAGGCTTTGATCGCCCAATAAGCTTTGTGCTCTAACTCTACTGGAAGACGGCATGGTTTCCCATAAATTAACCGAAATGGGGACATTCCAATAGGAGTCTTATAGGCAGTCCTATAAGCCCATAATGCATCGTTCAAGCGCATGCTCCAATCCTTCCTACTAGGACTCACAGTTTTCTCCAAAATTTGCTTAACCTCACGATTTGATACTTCTGCTTGACCGCTAGTTTGCGGATGATAAGGTGTAGACACCTTATGTGTGACATTGTACTTCCTAAGCAACGCTTCAAATGTTCGATTGCAAAAATGACTCCCTCCATCACTAATGATTGCTCTAGGTATTCCAAATCTTGCAAAGATGTTACTCTTAATAAAATCTGAAACAACTTTTGAATCATTAGTTTTGGTGGCTTTTGCTTCCACCCATTTAGAAACATAATCCACAGCCAATAAAATGTAAAGAAAACCATTTGAAGATGGAAAAGGTCCCATGAAATCAATGCCCCACACATCAAAGATCTCAACAACCAAAATAGGGGTTTGTGGCATTTGATTTCTTGGGCCCAAGTTACCTGTTCGTTGACAACGATCACATGTTGCACAAAACTCATACGCATCCTTAAACAGACTCGGCCAATAAAATCCACTCTCTAACACCTTAAGTGCTGTCCTCTTTGCTCCAAAATGGCCACCACATGCATAAGAATGACAAAAAGTTAGAATAGATTTAAACTCAGATTCGGGGACACACCTTCTAATTAATTGATCAGTGCAATATTTCCACAAATAAGGATCATCCCACTCGTAGTATTTGGCGGTTTTGACAAGCTTATCTTTCTGAGCACGTGTAAAATCATCCGGAATCTTTTTGATGACCTTGTAATTGATAATATCTGCATACCAAGGGTCAGTAATCTTTAATGAAAACAATTGCTCATCCGGAAAACTCTCACTTAAAGGGATGAGATCTTCCTCTGTGTTTGAATGCACAAGTCGACTAAGATGATCTGCTACAACATTCTCACTCCCTTTCTTATCCTTGATCTCTAAGTCAAACTCTTGAAGTAGAAGTATCCATCGAATGAGTCGCGGTTTTGCATCGTTTTTTGTGAGTAGATACTTTAATGCTGCATGGTCAGAAAACACAATAATTTTAGTCCCAATCAGATAAGATCGAAATTTTTCTAAAGCGAATACAACAGCTAAAAACTCCTTCTCTGTTGTTGAATAATTCAACTGGGCATCATTAAGTGTCCGGGATGCATAATAAATGACATGAGGCACTTTGTTGACACGTTGCCCTAGAACTGCTCCGACTGCATAGTCTGAAGCATCGCACATCAACTCAAAAGGTAAACTCCAATCTGGTGGCATGATCACAGGAGCTGTGGATAACAACTCCTTAAGCTTGTTGAAAGCTACCACACACTCTTTATTCATATAAAATGATACATCCTTTTGAAGCAAACGACACAACGGTCTAGAAATCTTTGAGAAGTCCTTCATAAACCTGCGGTAAAAACCTGCATGTCCCAGAAAAGAACGAACCTCCCTGACAGTAGTAGGGAGAGGTAAAGAACTAACAAGTTCTGCTTTTGACTTATCCACTTCAATTCCCTTTTCAGATATGATATGCCCTAGAACTAATCCATGAGAAACCATGAAATGACATTTTTCCCAATTTAAGACCAGATTAGTTTCTTGGCAACGTTTTAAAACTAGGGACAAATTATGTAGACAGGTATCAAAAGAATCACCATAAACAGAAAAATCATCCATGAACACTTCAATTATTTTTCTCAATCATATCAGAAAAGATACTCACCATACACCTTTGAAATGTGGCAGGTGCGTTGCAAAGTCCAAACGGCATCCTTCGATATGCAAATGTACCAAATGGACATGTGAAAGTCGTCTTTTCTTGATCCTCTGGAGCAACTGCAATTTGATTATATCCAGAATAGCCATCAAGAAAACAATAATGAGAATGACCAGCTAACCTTTCTAACATTTGATCAATGAATGGGACTGGAAAGTGATCCTTGCGTGTGTGGTGTTGTTTATCTTCCGATAGTCTGTACAAACTCTCCAACTATTTTGCACACGTGTAGGCACTAGCTCATTAGCTTCATTCTTAACAACTGTGACTCCTGATCGCTTTGGAACTACGTGAACAGGGCTCACCCACTTGCTGTCTGAAATAGGATATATGATGCCAACATCAAGAAGTTTGATAACCTCTTTCTTGACGACCTCCATCATGAGAGGGTTTAAACGACGTTGAGCTTCCCTTGTTGGTTTTGCACCTTCCTCCAACAGAATCTTATGCATACATGTAGCTGGATTTATACCTTTGATATCTGTAATGCTCCAAGCTATCGCAGTTTTATGATCCTTCAGTACCCGGATCAGTTTCTCCATCTCCTCTGCTGTGAGTTGTGATGATATGATGACTGGTAATGTTTCTTCCTCTCCCAAAAATGCATACTTCAAATATTCAGGAATCGATTTAAGCTCCAATTTTGGTGCCTGAATCACAGAAGGAAGATTTTTTTTTGTTAGAAATAGGAAGAGAAATAAAATAGGCAGAAGATTTACCGTGAATTGGTGAAAGAGACTCAAGATCTGCCATAGTCTGAATTAATTCTTCATCAATGTGCTCGAAAGTATTAAGCTTTTCATGTGTAATGCTATGCACTAACACCTTTTCTAAATTACCTTGTCCCACACTTTCATTAAAACAATCCTGCACAAAATAGTCAAACGCATCAATAGAGAAACAAGATTCAAAATCAATAGGGTACCTCATAGCCTCGAAGATTTTGAATTTGACAATTTCTCCATCAATTTCCATGGTCAAGGTACCATCATAGACGTCAATCTTTGTACGTGCCGTTCTAAGGAATGGTCTTCCCAATATAAGAGGAAGTGCAGTAGGCATAGGGTCATGTTCCATCTCAAGAACAAAAAAATCAGCAGGAAAAATAAGCTCATTCACTTGCACAAGTACATCCTCCAATAAGCCTTTCGGATATCTATTTGAACGGTCTGCCAACTGGATTATTACCTTTGTTTCCTTCAACTCTCCAAGGTTCAATGATTCATACACTGAATATGGCATCAGATTGATGGATGCCCCCAAATCACACAATGCTCTCCCAAACTCTTTCCCTCCAATTACACATGGAATGGTAAAGCTACCGGCATCCTTCAACTTTGGTGGTAGCTTCCTTTGCAAAACAGCTGATGCTTCCTCACTTAATGCCACAGTTTCTTGATCATTGAATCTCCTCTTGTTTGTACAAAGCTCTTTAAGGAACTTTGCATACTTGGGCACTTGTTTTATGGCATCTAAAAGAGGTAAGTTCACTTGGACTTTCCGGAAAGTATCCAAGATTTCCTTATCAGTTTGCTCTTTCTTAGACTTCATAAACCTACGAGGAAAAGGAATAGGGACACATGAGTTAAATGAATTTTGAATTTCTTTACTTACCTTATCAGAATCTTTTTTGTTCAATTCTGTATCTTTAGGAGACTTTTCAGTTTCTGTTGAATCCTCATCTTGCTTAAAAATTTCTTTTCCACTCCTTAAAGTCATAGCATTTAACTGCTCCGCATTTGGATTTGTCACAGTTTGGCTCGGTAACCTTCCTGGTTGGTGTTGTTGCCCCATCAAACTTGCTAACTGACTCATTTGACGCTCAAGGTTTTCAATTGCTTTGTCTGTTTTCTGTTGATGAGATTGAGTAGAGTTAGCTAAAGAAGCAATTAAATCCTCAAGAGACTTACTTGGAGCTTGTTGTTGTTGAGGCTGAAATGGTGCCTGCGGTCTTGCTTGAAAGAAGCCAGGCGGACGGTTATAGTTGTTGGGAACAGATTGTTGTCCGTTGTCTTGATTGTTCCATTTTAAGTGTGGATGATCACGCCATCCTGCATTATAGTTGTTGGAATAGGGATCATACTTTTGCCTTTGTTGCCCTTGAAACCCTCCTAACGCATTAGCTTGCTCAAGACCACCTTGATCCATCAACGAAGGGCAAATGTTCGTGGCATGTCCCATCATTGAACATACACCACACACCTGTTTTGGAGCCACAATAACCTGTTGCACAAGATTAGTCAAGTTAGCTAATTGTAATTCAATACTAGAATTAGCACTTACCTCGTTAACTTTCTTAAAAGGTAGCTCATCTCTCCCTCCAAATTGTCGTGTGTTGCCAGCAATGTTCTTTAATAATGCCTTAGCATTTATTGGTGTCTTGTCCATGAATGCTCCTCCACTTGCTGCATCAAGCATTATACGATCAGTACCACATAATCCTTCATAAAAATACTGTATTAAAAGATGCTCTGAAATTTGATGATTAGGACAAGATGCAACCAAATGTGTGAATCGCTCATAGTAATCTCCAAAGGGCTCTCCATGTTGTTGTCGGATTGCACATATGTCTTTCCTTATGCTTGCAGCTTTGGTGGCCGGAAAATATTGCTCTAAGAATGCTTGCTTCACCTGATTCCAGGTGTTCATTGATCCCGGAGGTAAATTGTAAAGCCACTCCTTTGCCTTAGCTTCTAATGTAAATGGGAATGCTCTCAACTTGACTTGCTCCTCATTCACATTTGCTGGTCTCATTCCTGAGCATACTACATGAAACTCCATAAGATGCTTGTTGGCATCCTCTGTTGCGAACCCATGGAACTTAGGCAAATAGTGAATCATGCCGGACTTGAGCTCACATCCTCCTTCGTCATTTGGATATGTGATGCACAATGGTTGTTGATCCGTGTTTGGCGTTGCCAACTCCCTGAGAGTACGGTTGTCAGCCATGTCTCCTTGTGGTTTTTCCTCCTTTATTGAACTAAAATGTGGTGGAGACGATGATGATGGTACGGACACCAATGCTTGATTCTGTTTGATTTCTCCTCGAACCTTTCGAAGTATTTGTTCAGGCTCAGGATTGTAGGGAGCTATATCAATGCTTTCGGACCTTCGAGTTTGCATATACTACAAAAAGTACCTGAAATAAACCCAAAACCAAAAACACTAAATAGACAAGAAATAGAAAATAATACAAATAAATAAAAATAAAATATAAGCAATCAGAAATAACAATCCCCGGCGACACGGCGCCAAAAATTTGGTAGGGAATTATAACGCACCACAAAGTAGCACACAATAATCCTATTAATTTTCCTTATTAACACTAAGATTTGTCGATTGTAGCATATGAAAATAAGGGTCTTTCCCGCAGAAGATTGTTTTATCCAAATACTTAAAATGTCACAAAAACGGGTGGCTGTCTCCACTGACCAGCCACCAAACAATAATTATTAAACTAACTTATACTTATCCAAATGCAACGAAATTTTATACACATAAACTAGACACACCAAGCTATGCTCACACAAATTTTTGGGATTTTTGGATTTGATTTGCTATTTAAATTAAATCATGCAAAAACAGTACAGAAACCAATTTTAAATAATACCAATAGATTTTAATTCACAAGTTAAGAAAATGAGTTAGGGGACATGCTTTCCACCACCAAATAATCATGAGTATGTTATGTTTCATTCAAATTGCTTTTATTTCCGGATGAAGATGCTCAAGTTGGCTCAATGTTAGAACACAACTTATTACTCTTTCTTACGTAGTATGTTAAGAGAATGGTGTTTTCAACTTAACTTAGTCCCTAGCATGCAATCTAGAATGGTGTGTTCATAGATTTAACAAGTAGAAATCATTAAGAATAAAAAGAGTTTGAGTCATCACAAGGCATCGTAAGTACTGGTGTTGTCTTACTTCTCCTAGAAATCGTTTCACATGTTAACCACAATTAACAAATGCTACTCTAGAACATATGTAGGTCCTCATTCAACAAGGGCAGGCAGACATATATTCATAGCATTAAAATCCTAGATATGCTCACTATGTATGCATCCATAGAAACACATAAAGAATTTATCAATGAGATAAGTAGTGAAACAATTTTCATCCTTTCATAAAAGTCATTCAAACAAAATATCACAACAAATTTACGATCATATTCGGGGCTTCAAAACAGCCCCTAACTACTAAAAATTAGTTACACATTATCCTCAAATTAAACCAAACGTAAAACATGAGTTTGAGAAGATAACACCAATAAGAATGGAGTGAAGCCCTCTGCCTCTGTGCTCCTCTTCTTCCCTGTGCTTATTTTCTGCGCCTAGCAAGTCCCTGACTTGCCCTTTGATTTCTCACTGCCCTCCTTATTTTCTGCGCTCTTCTCCCTTTTACACTGCTATCTTGGCCCTTTTTATTTATCGTTGTGCCCTCTCCCGTGTGCTGCCCTCCTGTCAGTCTCTCTGTCCTCTTTGTATTCTTTTTCTCCATGTGCCATCCTCTCTGTCTTCTTCTTTATTTTATTTTGCTGTCAGTGATCTCCTCTTTCTCTCCGTTGGTTTTCTCCATCTGCTTCTGTTTCCTGTCTTCTCCAAGCTCACGCTGCAAAAGCAGCTGCTCTCCCGCACCTCAAGGCAGCTTTGCTGCTTCTGTACCTTTCTCACGCTGCCAAGGGCAGCTTTTCAATTTGGTCATTTTCTTCTGTGCTGGCACTCACGCTGCAAGGCAGCTTTTCTCTTCTTTCACTGGCACCCTCTGCACTCACTCTGCTTTTCTTATTTCTTATTCCTGCCAGTCTGCCATCCACTGCATTATTCTTTCTGTATTTTCTTTTGCTCTCAATCTTTCTTACTCTCTCTTCTGTTTCTCGTCTCTCCTGCTCTCCGTGTCTGCCCTCTCTTTATTTCCCCGCTCTTTTATTTTTCTTTTCTGCTTGCCATGCTGTTTTCTGCTTTTCTCGCTGGTTTTTGTATTGCTGTGTCATGCACTCCTTCTTTCTTCCACTAGTCCATGTCCTCCCACTTATTCTTTTATTTATTATTCTTCTCACTGCTCTTTTGCTTTCACGTTTTCTGCCTTCTGATTTCTTTTCTTTCTGCCATCCCCGTCAGTTTCTCCACCTCCTACAGCCATTTAAATTCACAATTAGTGCTCCACTTGCTCCACTTTAATGAAAACAATGCTAAAACAAAAATAACTGTATATTAACACAAGGTAAGGTAAAATGCCACAATTTTAACACAAAAACATCACAAAGACTTTAGAAATGGATGGTATAAATGCATGAAATATATGAATTATCACTAAACAGCACCAAAACTGCACAAAACTGCACAAAAACAGCAGCTAAACTGCAGCAAAAATTACACCACAACTGCACCAAAACTGCACCAAAAAACTGCACAAAACTGCACCAAAAAACGCATCACATAATTCACATCTACTAAAATTCAACTTGATCACCAATCAATCACAATAGCTTACTACAACCCAATTGAAAAGTTAAGTTTGCCATAATACAACTAAAGTTCAAACTTCAAAGTTTCAAACAAAGTTCAATGTCAAATGCCTTATGGCATTAGTACAACCAAAAAAATAAATGGTTCATGGAATTCAACAAAATCTTGGTTTTCAACTTACTTTGCATCGTTCAAGTTTCAAACCTTTACCTTTCCTTTTCCTTTTAGACACTTATTCTTTGAAGGTTTAGGAGACCTTTGAGCTTGTGAAGACCTTGCACTTTGTAAACGCATAAGGGGAGGCTCTTGTAAATTAGAACCTTGAGATTGCTTTGGAGCTTGTTGTGGTTCTTGATCAAGAGTAAGAGAGACAATGCTTGAAGTCGATTTGGCCAACTCTACACAATACAAAACATAAAAAATATAATTGATGTTTAACATTTATTGTTCTTACCGGTGATGTTTAACATTTATTGTTCTTACCGGTGATTACTGGATTACGTAAATGGTGCAGTGAAGACATCAGTGAATTATGCAAATGGTGCAGTGAAGACATTCACAAACTGAAAACAACAAATGGTGCAGTGAAGACGGTGAATCAACGCAGTCACAGATTAACAAATTGAAAACAACAAATAAAACCACAGAAAAAGAAAACAGTCAACTCCCCTTGGAACAAAGAACATACGGATAGAAGAAGACTCAAAATGAGAGAAATGAAACAAATAAATAGACCTTCTAAATCTCCTAATTCATTTAAAAAACAAACCATAGAATAATGTTATATGGGTGATATCAAACAAAAGCAAACTACTGTGAACTTTTAACTTCAAAACCAATCATCAATGATAGATACTAATATCAACTTTCGAAAAAAAATTACTTACTTTGCCAAACCCAAACCTTTAACCTGCCTAACATTCGAAAGAAATGCACATTTTAAATTATCAATCATGATTCGGTGCATGAGTTTGTTCTCATATTTTCCCGTTTAATCTAACAACATATATGAAATTGAAGACAGAGGATGAGAAATTTTTACCTCTGGGTGTGTTGACTCCAAGATTGGAGGCAAGGCAGAGATGAAAGCAAGCAGTGACTCAGTGACTCAGTGAGGTCACAAGCAGAAGCAGTCGCTCGCAGGCAGCCGCAGAAGCAGATGCAGAAGCAGTTGCGACTCGCTCGCAGGCAGGCAGGCAGGCAGAAGCAGATGCAAGCAAGCAGTCAGGTGACCAGGTCGCAAAGGCAGATGCGGAGATGCAAGGAGGCGGCGCAGAAGCAGTCACTGAAACTACAAACCCACTCGGTGCAAACCCAGAATCGCAAAACCAAATGTATAAGTATAACCTAGTTGAATGAACTAAATAAAAATAAAAATGTGCGGTTTCGGTTTCGGTTTCGGTGCGGTTTTGAAAACCCAAAACCGAAACCAAACCGTTTTGTGTGCCGCGGTTCGATTTTGAAACCGAAACCGTTTCAAAACCGCAAAACCAAACCGTTTGGTGCGGTTTGATTTGATTCGTGTTTCAGTTTCGATTTTTGGTTCCAAGTGCCCATCCCTAGTAAGGAGAGGAAGGCACTGGGCTGCCACTGACCCCAAGCCGGAGCCCAAGGCCGACAGCAAGGAGGGTTTTAGAAGTTTAGGGGTTTTTGGGAGAGAGACAGGCACGTATGTTGCCTTTTTTAGTAAATAGACACCAAAGTGATTTTTCACCACTCATTTGGCACCTTCTTCATTTTCAACGTCTTTGTTGAAAAAATTTGTGAGTCATCCTGTACTCGTCTCTCCCAAAGCTTCATTGTATGACTCATTAACTTAATACCTATATGGTTAATGCAATTTTGAATATCCCCTCATTTTTGTACATAGGCACTGAAGTGCTTTTTCGCCACTCATTTGACATATTTATGTTTCTTTACATAGGAACAAATTCGAATGCTTACTCCCAGCACAACCCTATACAAAGCAGGGGAGATTGCTTGCGGACCAAGAATAATAAATTAAGTTGGTTTTGTGGCAGAAATCATCACAAAAAGCCTATTCCTCACTTTTGTAAAACCTACTAGTCCACAAGCTTGACAGATGTCTTCTAATTCACTTTCTGATGTGAAGACTTGGCCGCCCGATATTTGCTTTGTTCTCTACGAAACAGAAGACATAAAATCAACCCCCAGTGAGATTGAGATAAAAAGTCGTAGTCCCAAACCATTCACTACATAACGCACATTCAGCGGAATCCCAAAGCTGCAACAATGAAACGTTGGAGTGGAAAAGATGTACCTGTGTTATGTTCCTTAGAAATGGGATGAGCGAAAAAGGCCCATCGAGTATGTAAGTAGATGCAACAAACACCCCCCCAGGTCGCAGGACTCGACTAATTTCAGCAACCTTCAAAACCACAGTAATTACTCAGGAGAAACTACCAGGTTAAACTAAAATCGGAAAACTGGGGAGAAAACACATTTGGTTCTACCAGATAATATTACATCTGCACCAATATAAGCACATTTATAATCAATCCATGCCGATTTGGAGATAACTACTAAATCAGCGAGGAACAGAGGAATATGAAATTACTAACAAATTTCTGTACCAGGGTATCAGAAAAATTAAAACACGCAACAAATAGTCAAATACTATGTTTTTGTTCCCAAGGCAAGGTTAGCTATTTCTTATTTTTCTTTAAGAAATCTTAAAGGTATGTTGTTAAAATGTGCTCATAATGCAAAATGTTTCATTAACTTATTAGGAGACAAATTTATTAGCATCAAGGACTTTTCACCACTGCTAATACGTTAAGATTTAAGCCTTACAGGTAGTCAAAGCAAACAGCACAGTTAGCTCTAACACCGTATATATAACTACTTACAGCTGTTGATGGTGAAGGCCAACAATGTATGGCAGCACCAGCATGCACTGCATCCACAGAACCAGTAGCAAAGGGAAGCCGAGAAATATCAGCTCTGACCAGGATCATGTTCCTAATAAAATAAAAAAACTTAAATCAGGCAAATAATGGAAAGTATATTAAACTTTCAGATTTATCATCTAAATTTGAATGAAAAATTCAAAGTTCTGTACTCTTTGGGGAAGTTCTCCTCCTGCTGAATGAATCCATAGCACTCCTTCAACATGTTCTCTGAGTAGTCCAAAGCAACAACAAGAGAAAACAATCCACTCTTAGCGAAAAGTCTAGAAAACATCCCACTCCCACAACTTGCATCAATGATATTTCCACCACCCAAGACTGGCTTTAAGAAATCCTTAGTCAACTCAAACTGCAGTCAAAACTATGCTGCGGTTAGCAACTCAAGAACCTCCTTTGGCAAGACAAATTGAGTGCACACTGGTAAAACATGACTGTTTTTTCAGTTGTTCAGACAACTACATTGCATATTTGGCAGCAACACAATGGTTCTATCTGTTTTCAATGCCGTGATCAGAATAGAGCACTTAGTTCAACACAATGATTCTATCTGTTTTTCATTGGCGGTGGAGCTTCTTAGTTTAAGTAAATACTATACTAACTTAGGCCCAAAATAAAATACTTTACTAGAAAATTTCACTTCATAATTCATATGTAACCAAACAAAATGGACTATGTCGTTCCCTGTCCAAAACCCCAATATTATATGAAATATTGTCCGTTGGCACACTTCGCAACTTTCTAAAGGTTGTATGACAGTATGAGTTACAACACAACCTATCAAATACCATCTTTTGAAATTTAGAAAGGACGTTTGATAAGCCATTGCGATGATAAAATCTGAAATAAAGTAACTGATCATCTTACCTCTTTCTCTGGGCCAGGAAATCCACCCCATACAGTAAAGCTTTGACGCCAGCCCCTCTCATAGAGGTACGATACCAATGGAGTCCTGATGCAACAAAAAGTCACTAGACGCTATACAAAGATGCATATCAACATATTCATGAGGTATTAGGAAGTACTATTGGTAATGCTTTGAAAATTGTAATGTGGTAGATGCAATCAGTTCAACTAGGTTCATGCCCCATCTATGCCACAGAGGATAAAGTAATAATGTTCACCGCAACCGCCTATGAGAACAGAAAGAATCTCATTCACATAATAAGAGTCAAAGAAGATACATAATCTCCAAACATATGTAAAAGATCAATATACTAAACATCAGATGTTATTCTGCACCATAAGCCCATAACTAGAGCCTATTTTTGTTATTCCTATGCGAGATACATTCAGAGAGATGGAGAAACTAAGAGGATTCACGTCTGACTCTACTTCGGCCATGTTTATTCACCATCCCCATTTAAAATTCATTTCAAAACCATATGATTACCACATATGGGTTGTACAATTAAAGCTAAATACAATTCCAATACCTAAATATTTCTGTGGTAACGGGCATTGATTCACCATAGTCCTTGGTGCCGCTTGCTGTTGTCAGGTCAATATGTGTTTCGTTGCCAAAGTATGTCTTCTTACAAGTGCCACATTGAAAACTAGACCCAGAAGCAGACTCACTGCAAAAGCATGCCACTCCCATAATCAACGAAAACAAAAATAACGAAAAGCGAATCAAAATTATACAATGCAACCTCAAGGTAATCCTAAATATAGCTTACACAGATAAGCCCGGATCACCGGAACTTGAAAGTGGATCGTAGCATATCGGACAAGCTAAAATGTTGTTGCTGCTGATGCCATCATTTTGCACCACAATTGGTTCCTATTGTTTATGAAGCAAACAATTTCAAACCTTAATCTCAAAAATAAACATTAGCTCAATCAAGATTAAGGTTGTCCAAAAGATTTTAACTCTTACTGAAGGCAATATAGTACTAGGAAAATAAAAGCTCTGAACTTTTCCTTTTCCCTACCGTTTCTCGGCAACCAAACAGACAAAACTACAATTGGGTTTTCAATCTTCTATTCCATGAACTGAATCGATGAATTGAATTGATGAATTAAAGCAAGAAAATAAGCTAAATGCAACGTACGGTTGGCTCGACTTCGACGAGGGCACCCGAAGCAGCAGCTCGAACTTTGATTGCCGCCGCGAAACAGCGCTTGAAAACCCGTGAAGCAGCAGAAGTCCTGAGCTTGAGAAGACAAGGCCCTGAATTACCGAGTTGACTCAGAAGAAACGGGGAGCAGAGGTTGCCGACCACCGTCTCCATGATCGCTCTGTTTTGGTGTGTGGTGGTGGCTCTGACTGTGAATGGCTACTCACTTTTTGTGCACTATTATTGCAACTTTCGATTTTTTTATATTGTTTGTTAATTTGGTGGGAATTATTACAGCTTTTGTTTTTGTTTGTTCGGATTTGGGAAAGATAATTAGCATGTGCCGACAAAAGTCCAGGATTATTTAGCAGGGCTGCTGGTCTCGTCTGGATTATTTTACTTCGATGATGGACCCTAGGGATAATAGATCCATATGCTAGAAATATCCAATGCCGAATGAACGGTGGTGGGAAAACTGAGTGGCTCGATTAAACACTAAAACAATAACAAAGGTTTATTCTACTAAGTAGAATTAGATGTATGAATTTTAAAATATCATTACGCTTGATTTGTGTCAAGTACTCTATGTTTTTTCTTAAGAGCAAGTTCATCCCACCCAATTGCTGTGGGGATTGGGTGATTCAAGTCAACCCACCAAAATCAACAAAATGAGCTCTAGTCAATGCCCAATCAGTCGGGCTACAGTAAAAAGGAGAAGGCATGATTGCTTGAACTTCATTAATATAGACCGTTGGATCACATTTTATTTTTTGCATCCAACAACCCAAATTGTGCCACGCCATCCAACAGTAACTTTGAATTTTATTTTCTTATTTTTCTGTTTTTGAAATTTTTTTCTAAAAGTTGGAATAACCTAGTCCATTGATTATACATCTAACGGCTTAGGTTTGGACATGTGTCCTAGCCATTGGAATTGGATCTAAATGCGCTTGCTAGTGGGCCCCAACACCTGCTTTTGGTCGGCTCACTCTCCTTCCTCCGCATGTGAAAGCTACGCACCTAGAAAAAAAAAATAATCGTCACTGATGTCAGATTCGTTGATGTCAGATCCACTCAATCAGCATGTTGGGCTATTCTAACTCATGTGGTGAGTCAGGTTTCCCTAGAGCCTAGTTGATTGGGTAAGGCTGGAGTGGTTTTGGGGAGCTTGGGGGGTTAGATAGCCTAAGAGCCTCTCCAAAGAAGACGTCAATTTCAAAACATCAAAGTTAAAATGGTTGACTTGACAATTTGATATATTGTCAATATTTTACTTCCACCTGGTATGCCAAAATTTATTGCTTCATTTATGTTTTTTTTTTAACAAAAATAATAAAAGTTAGGTTGTTGTTGGTTAAAAATAATAAAATAATACTTAAATATGCTAACATTTAAGATAAGACAAATGGAATGCCTTTGGAAATAGCAAAAATCAAATTTGAATGTAGCTTCAAATTTGACATCTCTTTGTCTATGTAAGTTTAGCCTTCTTTTCCATATCATCTTTGACATCTCGGTTGGAATAAATGGTACATCATTTATTATCGTTATAAGTCTATGTGACTCATGAGTAGATTTTATATTATATATTTAACCATATTATTAGTATATTTTGAAAGAATTTTGATACTTTGAATTGTATTTTCAATATAGGACTTTCGATTTCCTTTGGAGCAAAACATGGTCAAATAGATGAATTTTGGAGTAATTCTAGTTGAAGAACGTTCGTGAGTCACTTGGCTTGATCGTGTCAAAATTTGGAATTTTTCTACCTAGCAGTAATTTTTTGGCAATAAAATAAAGGAGCGATGCGTAGTGCTAGAATAGTGACGTTTTGGGCTTGAATTGCATTTTTAGAGCCCAAGACCTCGGATGGGTTTGTTGCCTTCTGGAGATGTGTTCAAAACATCCTGATCTTCAAAACAAGCTATTATGGGTCAGATTTGAAGGATATCTGGGGCTAAAACGTGGCTGGATAAGTACTTAGCAGATTCTACTAACTTAATTAGGACTTTATTTTATAAGATAACATATTTTGTTATTATTCTTAGTTTCCTAGTTGGAACAAAAGACAACATTTTAGGGTTTGTGCGATGGCATAGCAACATATATTGCTTTGCTATTCTCAGTTTTTTCTCTAAGCTTTCTTTTATTCAACTTCAAAGACAGAGAACTTTGCTAGGGTTCTTGAAGATTTTCTACTTTAAAGTGTTTTCATTCTTTTTCTTTATAATAATATTTCTTATGATTTTAATTATGAATTTGCGTAACTAATTTGTTTTGCTAGGGCGAAGCCTTGAGCCTTAGCATGAATATGTAATTTTTATGTAATTGCTTATGATTGATTGCATGCATACTTAGAATTATTAATCATCGTGATTAAAACTATCTAATTGTCTTAATGCCTGATCATCATTATGATCTTTAGAAAAGTAATTTGATGCAATTTTGGTCGGAATGTTCCCTGAAATTGGCGCTGGCTTCTTGTGATTAATAATTGTAATTTCACTTAAGATGAACACGACGTCTTAGGGTTGCATGGTTTTTCAAAAGGTTTTCATAAAGTATAATGAGTCTTTCATGTTCAGATTTGATCCGAACATCTGGACAGGTTGCATATTAGATATACCTTGTATGTTGAAGGTTCCAAGTAGAATATAAATTAGGAAAACCTAACATTCAAAGTGGCATGTGTAGATCTTAAGTAATTGGTAGGAATTCATAGGATTGCTAGGTGATGGTGGAACCCTAGTGTTTTTATAAATTGGTATTTAAAACTATTTTATTTTTATCATATTAGTTGTGGGCAAATTTATTATTTGTTTTTAATTAAAAATCTTTTTAATATTACCTAAATTCAAAATCACCTTTCTCAATTTTTAGTTTTAAGTAGTTAAATTAGGAATTGTTTCTACATAAATTATTCAAATAGTCATTGAGGAGAACGACCTTGCATGAGCATCTATACTACAATAACCTTGTATTCTTCCAAGTATTTTGTATGATTTTAACCCTATTTGCGTAGAAGGTAAAAATCCTATTAGTGACATTTTTGGCATCTCCTTTGGAGATGGTCTAACAGCCCAAGCAATTTTTTTGGGTGGAGTTGCTCTAAGTGGTGACAACAATTTACTAGCCGACCACTCTGTGATGCCTAAGTTGTGGAAGCAAATTTCTTCCTTCTCGATCTTGGACAATTTTGCACCTACAAAACAACTAGCACCTTAGGTTAAGGCCGAAAGCCTCACGCGCCCACGATGAATGAGGGGGCTTTGGCCGAAGAACCTCCGATGCCAAAGTTAGAATTTTAGAGAGAAATAGTGTTTAGAGCATTTGGGATTTTTTGTAAGAGAATTGGAATTAGTGTTTGGTTAAAATGGGAACCAATTTATAGGAGAGGAAGGGATGGCCGGCCTTTAAGCCAAGGATGATTTATTTTGGGGGGTTATGGAGATAATGGGCTAGTTATTTTGGGGAGTTATGGAAATAATTGGCTAGTTAATTAGCAAATAATAATAACCTAATTAACTAGCTATTTGAATGTCATAAAAGGGAAAGAAAATGGTAGCAAAAAGCAGAAAATAAAAGGCATGGCCGGCCCTAGTGGGTAACCGGCCTTTGGTATGTTTTTTGGTTATAATTTGGTGGTTTGATTTGATAATTAAGGGATTGATTAGGTAATTAATCCCTTAATTAGTCAATTTTAGGAAATATGAAAGGAATATATTATTTAGCTAATTTATTAGCTAAATAATGGAATATAAACATATAGAATAAATTAGATTTTGGGGATTACCTTATAGAAAGGATTTGATGAAATAGGCTTTAAATTGTTACCTATTTTGGGCACTTTGACTTGATTGAAAGATGATTGCCCGCTGCTTGCGTGTAGGAATCCTGGTATGCCTCAAGGGTATTTTTGTCCTCTTTTGTCCAAAAGTCCATGTGTCGCCTAGTGAATATTTTTTGCTCCACAAATGCCCCCACACCTGTTGGACTACTTGCACAGAAGGGCAGCAGGTGTAAAGATCTTCTTACTTTAGGAAACTTAGGACTGCTTCCTATTTTGATGTAGATCCTATTTTTAATAGGAAATTAGATCCTTCTAGGAAAGGGAAATAAATTTCTCTCAATGCCTATTTAAGGGTTGTTAAATGACTTTGGAGAGCGATTTATTCTACCCTACAAGAGAGAGAGAGCTTAGAGGATATTTATTCCCCCTGTTTTAGCAATCTTCTACATCTTGCCCGTGCAAATGACCATCTTTCGTTGATTTCTTCGTCTTCTCCGTGCCGCACCAATGTAAGAAAAATTTAATTTTTTCTTGTCTTCTTCTTGGATAATGCTATTGTGTGGCAGTCGTCGGGGTGGTGTGGCACGTCGGCTGGCAGAAGCCAGGAGTCAACTCGGCATGGGCCGATGAGGCATTGTGGCAAGGGCCACTGCTTGTGCTGTTTGGCTTGGCTAGAGCCAAGGGCAACTTTTACGGCCGAGGCTGCGGATTGTGGCATTGGGATGCAGTACTAGGCGAGTCACATGGCTTATGTCCTTTTAGGCTTTTGGACATGACGCGAGCTAGGCCGGTGATTGAGAGAAATGAAGAGGTTGTCGGCCTTATGAGCTGCTGGAATGTTGGGTTGAACCCCCCTGCTAGGTACCACGAATGGCGTTGGCTACTTTAACTCTCTTCGTCAGGAGAAACGTGGGCTGCTCCCAAAAGAGAATGTGAATAAGATCAAGGCGGATGCATTAGCTCGCCCAATCAATGTTGTAGATCCTGCTGCAAGTGAAGGTGGGAAAAGGGATCTTCCCCGCCTGCTTAAGAAATGTCGGCTGAGAAAAAACCAAAGACTTCTTTCGCTGCTCGTGTGGGTTCGCCGACTGCCTCTGGGCTTGTGATTGACTTGACTTTTTCCAAGGGGATGAAAAATAAGGCTGCTAGATCTGGCGCCTGCCATGTCAAGAATGGCTAGTATGATTGCTGATAGGATTGTTCGGCATAAAGGTCCTGTCATGCCCCTAGTGTCGAATTTTGTACCAAGACGTCTGTTGCGAGCTAAGTCCGGTTCACCTTTAGAGAGGCTTGCTATTATGAAGAGCGATAAGGTGGACTCTGCTGCTAAAGTAGTGCCAAGCCCCATTCCTTATGCTACTGAGACTGATTCGCCTGCTGGGAATGAGGAGACTGCTCGCGTAGGCAGCTGTGAGAAATCCACTAAGCCTGCTTCTAGGGAGGTTGCTAAGATCTATGTGCTTTTGAAACCAGATC